GGTTCTCGTGGCTCTGTTCTCGCACATGTCCGGCGCTGTGACAGTTCAGTGGAATCTCATTTAGTTTGGCAGAAACTTTCCTCATCTGGCCTACAACAGAAGCGCGTCATGAAAGACTGCGCTCATTTATTATAGAAAGATCCAATTAGAGGCGAAGGAAACGAGGAGCCGTCCAGGCGGTTTGGCGCAGTGTGGGTTTAGTCTGACAGCGCCGGGCTCCTCGATGTCATACAAATATACGGAGAAGAAAAAGAAAAAGAGAGAAAAAGAGACGAGAGAAACGAACCCCACACCATGTTACTCTTTATACTTCAGGTCCCATTCAGATCCTAGTCCACGGGTTTGAGAATGGTGGGAAATTAGGAACGTTTATTAGGCCGTAAACACTTCAGTCCGTGTGTCATTCGTTTATTTGTTTTTCAATGTAAAACCAAAAATAAGAAACGGAAAAAAACAACTATTATTTGTTCGTTATTTGTCTCCGAAACCAAAATGAAAAAACGGATAATGATTCGTTTTTTCGGTTTTGTGTTTAAATAAAAAATGGAAAAAAATGGATAACGATCATTTTCTGTGCCGGACCGGACCAGGACTAAAACAGGTCCGGGATTACACCAGAACCAGACCGTGATTGAGGCCGGGACTGAGACCAGACCGGGACTGAGACCGGGACTGAGACCGGAACCAGACCGGACTGAGACTGAGACCAGACTGTGATTAGACCACTGAGACCGGGACCAGACTGTGATTGAGACCGGGACTGAGACCAGGACCAGACCAAGACTGAGACTGGGACTGAGACCGGAACCAGACCCGGACTGAGACTGGGACCAGACTGTGATTGAGACCGGACTGAGACTGGGACTGAGACCAGGACCAGACCAAGACTGAGACTGGGACTGAGACCGGAACCAGACCCGGACTGAGACTGGGACCAGACTGTGATTGAGACCGGGACTGAGACCGGGACTGAGACTGGGACTGAGACCGGGACTGAGACCGCGACCAGACCAGGACTGAGACCGGGACCAGACCGTGATTGAGACCGGGACTGAGACCAGGACCAGACCAGGACCAGACCAAGACTGAGACTGGGACTGAGACTGGGACCAGACTGTGATTGAGACCGGGACTGAGACTGGGACCAGACCAGGACCAAACCGGGACTGAGTCCGAGACTGAGACCAGGACCAGACCAAGACTGAGACTAGGACTGAGACCGGGACCAGACCGGGACTGAGACTAGGACTGAGACCGGGACTGAGTCACGGACCAGACCGTGATTAAGACTGGGACTGAGACCGTGACCAGACCAGGACTGAGACCAGGACCAGACCAGGACTGAGACTGGGACCAGACGAGGACCAAACCGGGACTGAGACTAGGACTGAGACTGGGACCTGACCAGGACTTAAAACGGTCTAGTTCTGGTTCAGTCCGACATCACAGTTTAAGTCACGTAAACGGCCGTTATCCGTTTTTCCATTATTCATTTAAACACAAAATCTAAAACCGAAAAAACAAATCACTGTCTGTTTTTTCATTCATTTCATTTAATGTTCTTATTTTTAGTTTTATATTGAAAAACAAATAAACAAACGATAAACAGATTCAGGCTGTTTTATGTGGCGCTCCACATACAAAATGTTCAACTGCAAACTAGCGATGATTTAGGCAGCCAAATGTTTCCTTTTTGGTCCTTCCTGTGGATCATCCTGCCCATCGCCTTCACCTTTCACTATTTTTCAATTCCGTTGGGAAGAGAAACAGTTTGAAAAGAGGTTTGTAGTCACACACATCTGATTCCCGTTCGCAAACAAATTTCTCGAGACGTTTTCCGCTGTTAGGATCCAACAACCACACAATTACGATGTCCGAATCCCAAAACTAAAATATGACAATATCAGAACCAGAAACAAAAGTGATATGGTTCAAAAGACTTGAAAAGATCGACTTTGTCAATAGACGCATCCCACTGGGAAAACAAACATGTCGGTTTGATGCTCACTTTGTCGGAAAATCCTTCACAGTATGAATTGTGTGATGACCGGAAGTCCGAGACTCTTGATGCATGTATTCAACATTATTGATATTGCGTTTTAGAATCCGGTGCACTTTATAGTCCGAAAAATACGGTACTCTGATAATGTAACCAAAACTTCTTTTTTTTTTTTTTTTATCAATTCTAGTTTTATACACATACATATATATACATGTATTACATATATTTTCCTCCCGTTTATGGTCGTACAAACTAATAATAGTGTTAACAAAGGGACGAAATGTTATCGTTTATGATCATGCAAAACAAACAACAGTGTAAATGAAAAGATATAATAATTATTTGTTTTTCGTTTATGGTCGTACAAACTAATAATAATGCTAATGAACGCAAAAAAAAAAAAAAGGTTTATCGTTTATGATTGTGTGAAATAAACTACGATGAGAAAATAAATAAATAAATATAATATATATAAAGTAAGGATTATTGGTTTTTCGTTTATGGTTTTACAAACTAATAATAATGTTAACGAAGCCGTAAAAGTTTATCGTTTATGATCGTGCGAAATAAACTACAATGAGAATTTATTTTTTTATTTTTTATTTTTTTAAAGTAAGGACATTTTGTTTTCGTTTACAGTTATGCAAACTAGTACCAACATTAACGAAGGCACAAACCCTCACCCTAATGTAACCAAAACGTTCTAATTCCTCCAGGATTATAACTTGCATCATTTATTTTAAAAACATGACATTTCTGAGGAGTTTCATAGAGCATGAGGTTCATTTGGTCGAACAGACTTTGTATATTTATACCGCCTCACTGATCTCCATATGGGCCACTGTTATGGTCACCTCAGTGGACTCAACGCCCCCGCACCCTCGTCACCCTCGTCACCCTCGTCACCCTGTCACCCCCACGACCAGAGCGCACCCGGCTCCACGCGCCCACACCCACGCCGCCTCCGCCGCCGCCGACAAAACGTGATATAAAAGACGACAGGCCTAAGTTGGAAGTTTAAATATTCCCTCAGTGTGTTGATGAGAGTTTGGACATTTTGAATCTGAAGCCGTAAAACAGCCTGAATCTGTTTATCGTTCGTTCATTTGTTTTTCAATATAAAATTAAAAATAAGAAAAAGAAAGAAACAACTATTTTCTTCATAATTTGTCTCGAAAACCAAAATGAAAAAACGGATAATGATTTGTTTTTTCAGTTTTAGATTTTGTGTTTAAATGAAAAACGGAAAAAACGGATAATGACTGTTTCCCATTTCTGTGACTTAAACTGTGATGCAGGACTGAACCAGGACTAAAACAGGACTAAACCATTTTCAGTCCCGGTCTGGTCCCAGTCTCAGTTCGGGTCTCATTCCTGTTCTGTTCTGGGTCTCAGTCTTGGTCTCAGTTCTGATCTGGTCCTGGCCTCAGTCCCAGTCTCAGTCCCGGTCTCAATCACGGTCTGGTCCTCATCTGGTACTGGTCTCAGTTCGGGTCTCATTCCTGGTCCTGTTCCCGATCTCAGTCCCGGTCTCAGTCCCGGTCTGGTCACGGTCTCAGTCCTGGTCTCAGTCCTGGTCTCATTCCTGGTCCTGTTCTGGGTCTCAATCACGGTCTGGTCCTGGTCGGGTCCCGGCCTCCGTCCAGGTCTGGTCACGGTCTCAGTCCCGATCTCATTCCTGGTCCTGTTCCGGGTCTCAGTTCTGGTCTGGTCCCAGTCTCAGTCCTGGTCTCAGTCCCGGTCTGGTCACGGTCTCAGTCCCGGTCTCATTCCTGGTCCTGCTCCCAGTCACAATCCTGGTCTCAGTTCTGGTCTGGTCCTGGCCACAGTCCCGGTCTCAATCATGGTCTGGTCCCAGTCTCGGTTCGGGTCTCATTCCTGTTCCCGGTTTCAGTCCTAGTCTCAGTTCTGGTTTGGTCCTGGCCTCAGTCCCGGTCTGGTCACGGTCTCAGTCCCGGTCTCATTCCTGGTCCTGTTCTGGGTCTCAGTCTTGGTCTCAGTCTTGGTCTTAATCACGGTCTGGTCCCGGCCTCAGTCTGGTCTGGTCCTGGTCTCAATTCGGGTCTCATTCCTGGTCCTGTTCCCGGTCTCGGTCCTGGTCTCAGTTCTGGTCTGGTCCTGGCCTCAGTCCTGGTCTCAGTCCTGGTCTCAATCACGGTCTCAGTCCCGGTCTCATTCCTGGTCTTGTTCCCGGTCTCAGTCCCGGTCTCAGTTCTGGTTTGGTCCTGGCCTCAGTCCCGGTCTGGTCACGGTCTCAATCCCGGTCTCATTCCTGGTCCTGTTCTGGGTCTCAGTCTTGGTCTCCGTCTTGGTCTCAATCACGGTCTCAATCAAGGTCTGGTCCCGGCCTCAGTCTGGTCTGGTCCTGGTCTCAATTTGGGTCTCATTCCTGGTCCTATTCCCAGCCTCAGTTCAGGTCTAGTCCCAGTCTCTCCTGGTCTGGTCCCAGCCTCAGTCCCGATCTCATTCCTGGTTCTGTTCCGGGTCTCAGTTCTGGTCGGGTCCCAGCCTCAGTCCTGGTCTCAGTCCCGGTCTCAGTCCTGGTCTCAGTCCCGATCTCATTCCTGGTCCTGTTCTGGGTCTCAGTCCTCGTCTTAGTCCCGGTCTCAGTCCCGGTCTACAACATCCTTTAAAAACACGCCGCTGAATCTGGATCTGTGTTTTCCGTTTTCTCTGCAGCTTCTTAAAATAAAAGTTACAAATATTTTCTAAGAAATCATGAATGGAGCCCGATAATTGCGGCTGAAAAATTCCTGTTAACATTCACATCTTCGGGGTTGAACAATGGCGCCACTTTCTGAAAAAAAAAGTGAAAAAATACAGTCAGTTTTGTTTATTTGCGCTGACATTTAAGACTCTGAACTCTGCACCTGGTTTTGTTTGACGCTTTACCTTTTTAAACTACACATTTGAATAACTAAACATTTTCTGCGACATTATTTGGTGCCGTTTTCCTAATCACATGTCCCTGTTTTGTTTTTTTGTTTTCTTTTCACAGTGAACCAATGGCTTCTCAAGTAAGGACTACAAACATGTCTGCTCTGAGTGGCCTCCAGAATAAAGACTACAAACATGTCCGCCGCTGCACAAAGATCCGAACTCTGCAAAACTCAAACGATCTGGACTAAAAACGCAGTGGCTTATGACAAAGACTTGTGATGGACTACAAACACAGACAAAGTTCAGAGGTCACGCGGAGGTCACGCAGAGGTCACGCAGAGGTCACGCAGACTGGTTTCTCTTTGGATCTTTGAAGAATTTCCCGTGTGATTTGTCTGAGGTTTGTCGAGAGTTTCTGGATTCTGGGATTTGGTCTTGATTTTGAACCTGGATCGATGAAAAGAACGATTCTCGGACTCATGGCTGAATTTATTTAAATGTGAATGGATTTATTTGTTATGGGATAAAGTGACTATAACTATTAATGTTTCTTTAAAAAATAAATAGCATTATTTGTATGTTTTCTGTGTGTTATTTAATGAAAAACACACACACACACATATATACATACACAGTGTTCGGGGAGTAACAGATTACATGTACCGGAGTTAAGTAATCAGAGTACAAATGATGAGTAACTGTATTCAGTTACAGTTACTGTTTCAGTGAGTGGTAATTGGATTACAGTTACTTTGTTGAAATAAATGGATTACATGGAGGTATTTTCCTGTTTTCACATTTTGGGCTAAACCAGGACTAAAACCATGACAAAAACCAGGACAAAAACCAGGACAAAAACCAGGACAAAAACCAGGACTAAAACCAGGACAAAAACCAGGACTAAACCAGGACTGAATCAGGACTGAACCAGGACTGAACCATGACTAAACCAGGACTAAATTGATCTCAGTCCCAGTCTCTGTTCCGATCCCATTCCTAGTCTTGGTATAGTCCTGGTCTCGGTCCTGGTCCCAGCCTCATTTCAGGTTTTGGTCCCGGTCTCAGTCTCGGTCTGGTTTCGGGCTCAGTCCTGATCACCCGACAATCTACACGGACACACCTCCAGGCCCGTCCCGACACTCAGTCCTGGTTCAGTCCTGATTTAGTCCTGGTTCAGTCCTGGTTCAGTCCTGGTTTAGTCCTGGTTCAGTCCTGGTTCAGTCCTGGTTCAGTCCTGGTTTAGATCTGGTTCAGTCCTGGTTCAGTTCTGGTTTAGACCTGGTTCAGTCCTGGTTCAGTCCTTGTTTAGTCCTGGTTCAGTCCTAGTTCAGTCCTGGTTCAGTCCTGGTTTAGACCTGGTTCAGTCCTGGTTTAGTCTTGGTTCAGTCCTGGTTCAGTCCTGGTTCAGTCCTGGTTCAGTCCTGGTTTAGTCCTGGTTTCCTGGTTCAGTCCTGGTTTAGTCCTGGTTCAGTCCTGGTTCAGTCCTGGTTTCAGTCCTGGTTTAGTCCTGGTTTCAGTCCTGGTTTAGTCCTGGTTTAGTCCTGGTTCAGTCCTGGTTCAGTCCTGGTTTAGTCCTGGTTCAGTCCTGGTTCAGTCCTGGTTCAGTCCTGGTTTAGTCCTGGTTCAGTCCTGGTTCAGTCCTGGTTCCTGGTTCAGTCCTGGTTCAGTCCTGGTTCAGTCCTGGTTTAGTCCTGGTTCAGTCCTGGTTCAGTCCTGGTTCAGTCCTGGTTCAGTCCTGGTTCAGTCCTGGTTCAGTCCTGGTTCAGTCCGGCATCACAGTCACAGTAAAGAGAAATGGTCGTTATCAGTTTTTTCCATTATTCATTTAAACAAAAAATCAAAAACTGAATAAACTAATCATTATTTATTATTTATTTATTTATTTTGGTTTTAGAGACAAATAATGAAGAAAATAGATGTTTTTTTTTGTTTTTTTTTTCTTATTTTTGGTTTTATTTTGAAAAGCAAATGAACGAATGACAGACAGATTTAGCACGATTAAAGGCTCTGAAAAGTCCATTTTGCAGAACCGACCTGCTTTAAAGGTCTTTAAATGTCTTTACCATTAAAAACACCTGTAATCTACACGATAACATCTCCATTTCTACCTCGACTACTTCACCAGCTGCCGGGCCCGTAGCGTCTTGTGACTCTCTTTGAATGTTGTTGTTAATCAGCGCTGCGGTCCCTGAGCCTCTCCTCGCTCTGCCCAGGGTCCAGTCGTCTACATTAAACACCAACCGCACAACAGCAGCGGACTCGTTATCTCCCGCGGACCGGAGCACCCGAGGAGCCACAAAAGAACTACACACTCAACATAAAAGAGCTTTAATCGAGCTCCGAAGTCCAATGATTTTGTTTTCGCGTGATTTACGGCGGCGGGCAGAAGTCTGGACTCACCCTCTCACCCTTTACTGTAGATGCTGGAGTCGCGCTTTGTTTCGTTCGCACACGTTTAACGCACAAACCTGCAGATCTGGGCTGAGTTCTTCTCTCAGACAGAAAACACTGCACATTGTGATGTCATATAGTTAGGGGTGTAACGATATCCAAGTCTCGCGATATGATATCGTCACGTTACTGTCAGCTTCTCCTGGAGGCAGCCTGCGAAGAGAGTCTTTAAAGAGAGTCCAGGAGAGTTAAAGCAGTTCACAGTCACAGACAAGTCTCTTTATTGGCTCGAGCATGAACAGGTCTCTGATTCATGTTGATTACAGGATTCAGTCACGAGCATCTCTTCTGAATGTCCTGCCAGTGTTGGGGAGTAACAGATTACATGTACTGGAGTTACGTAATCAGAGTACAAATGATGAGTAACTGTATTCAGTTACAGTTACTGTTTCAGTGAGTGGTAATTGGATTACAGTTACTTTGTTGAAATAAGTGGATTACACGGCGGGATTTTCCTGTTTTCACATTTTGGGCTATTCCTTTTTTTTTTAATTCTTCAGTAATTCCACTCATTGCCGGACACTAAACCAGGACTAAAACCAGGTCTAAAACCAGGACTAAACCAGGTCTAAAACCAGGACTAAACCAGGACTAAACCAGGATAAACCAGGATTAAACCAGGTCTAAAACAGGATTTAACAGGACTAAATCCTGCTGCGTGGACGTGTCTCCTCTTCTATCAATAATATTTGTAATTTGGTTCAGTAAAGTCTGGGCTTTTCATTTTCTTTAATCAGACAAAACATCTTATGTGAAGATTTCCTCCGTCTTTGCTTCTCTACAGCAAATCAAGTAATCCAAAGTATTCAGATTACGTTACTCACTTTAAGTAATTTAATGGATTACGTTACAAACTACATTTTGGTGTATGTAATCTGTAATCTGTAGGGGAAAACATTTTAAAAGTCACCTTCCCAACACTGCGTCCTGCATAGTACAGAAAAGTAGACAGCTTTATACTCCACCATCTTGTCAAATATTAACTTGCTGATGTTGATGGGTTGGCACATGTTAACGGGTCCAGACCCTCATCTTTTCTGTCTCGTACGCATCCCAAAGTTCAAACAACATGTCCCGGCCTCGTTGACAGTTCAGAGTCCAGACATTGACTTCTCTTTATAACACAACATGTCGAGGGATATTGAGTGAACAAATATTATGATTGAAATTAAAATGAAACGTTAACAACAAAGAGAATAATTCCCATAGAACCTCAGGGTACAATATTTATAGCGAAATCGTGGGAAAGCTCACAATTAGGGATGTAACAATATCCAAATCTCTCTGTATGATATTTTCACGATGTACATCTCACGGTACGTTATTTTGTGGAGGCGAATATGCTCCTTTTTCCTTTTAAAATGCCTTGACAAGACTTAATCCAAAGAACTAAGACTTAAAAGTGTTAGAACTGTTATTTTCTTCTTGTCGTCTGCACTGAAATGGAGCAAAGGATCATGGTCAATGTAGTTCCCTTTGTCTTTTTTTAGTTATTGCTGCTCCATAACTCTTAATTTGAGCAAAGAGACTTGTAATTCGATATATTTTGATGGTCCACGATATTATTGTGAGAACTTTGACCATACGATTTCACGATATTTCGGTTATTGGTACATCCCTACGTATAGTAATAGGGGAAGTGCATAACTGTGATTTTAAACTCCACACATCTTCACTAGAATCGTTTTGATGATTTCAGCCCTGGACTCACCAAACTCTACTGAACAAAATGTAAACGGGAGCTGGCAACTTGAAAACTACCACTACTTGACATCAGCAAAATGGAACAGAGCATTTTGAGTTTTGGACATGTAAACAGACTAATAATAAAGTGTTACTCAAACATGTGTGAATGAAACACAACTCTGGGTCTGTTTTTGAGGAGGTAACGACATTACAACATGGCTTAAAGCAGGAGTGTCAAACTCATTTTGGTCCGGGGGCCGTATCCAACCTACTTTGATCCCAAAGGGCCGGATCAGAAAACTCATGTCATATAAACCCCAAAAATAACAATAAATTCAAATATTTGTGCAGAGAAACACAAATCTATTACAGAAATCTTTTTTAATTAATGAACTCTTTCTTTTACAAAATATTATAATATTATAAACAACATAATATGTTTAAACTTTAAGAAAACTGTGTCACATACAACACACTTTATTTTTTAACGGACAATGAGTCATTGCGGACATTTATTAGTGCACAGAAGTGAGTGAAGCAGGGATGGAATTTCGACTAAAGCTAGTTTAGGTTTGTTAGCGGTTAGCTGCTGTAAGCTCCCACACATAAACAGGCTGTTTTCTATTGTGTAAAGTGAACTATTGGCCGTAATTTTGTTACCTTGAAAATAGTTAAGACATAGAATTTTGTGTCTGAAAATTTGACTACTTTGCAAATAATTAGCGGTACGTTTTTACGGCTAAAGCAGATAGTTTACTAGCTAGGAGTTATGGGACTCGTCCGATCGAAGCGGCTCTTAGTGCCGACTCTTTGAATGAACAACAGGAGCCCTTTTTGGGAGCTGTGTTTTCTCTTTTCTTTTCTTTTCATGCCGCATGTAGGACTTTCTTTGACAGCAGAAGCGGCTGAAAACGAAACTTTCAGTCAATCTGCGTGTGCATAGGATAAAAATTTTAAAAAGTGCATTGGCTGCACAATGAATAAAGGACTAAACGGACTAAGGCAGGTCAGTTAGTAGAAACTGGGAGTTGAAATTGACAGTCCTGTTCAGTCCTGGTTAGTCTTTGG